GGGCACGCACACACACGCGCCTGGTGTGAGTTTAAGCCATTGGGGCCAGGACTCGAACCACGGTTGACTACATGGGAGTCCAGTAACATCTCCATTATGCTAACTGCTGGTCCCTCCTGTCTCAGTTTTTTTCTCTCTCTGGCAAGTGCATTTGCCCTATAGCAAAAACCTCTTTAAAAAAAAAAAAAAAGATGAGTTGGAGGAGGCTGCAGCCACGTGGCAGGAAGGCGACACACCCGACCCCGGGCCCACACAGGTGTCAGGCTGCTCCGGCTGGATCGAGTTTTTTTCTCTCTCTGGCAAGTGCATTTGCCCTATAGCAAAAACCTCTTTAAAAAAAAAAAAAAAGATGAGTTGGAGGAGGCTGCAGCCACGTGGCAGGAAGGCGACACACCCGACCCCGGGCCCACACAGGTGTCAGGCTGCTCCGGCTGGATCGCGGCATGCAGACCCCATGGGCACGGTGGCCATCTCGGCCTCTCTGACTGGTGCTGCGGAACCCTCTGGTTTTTGGCTGGCAGACGCCGCACACCACCTCTCCCGTGGAGGTGCTGTGTGGGCTCCTGGGGGACCTCAGGGGAGCTGGCCCTGCCCTGGCGCTGAAGTGGGAGTCTGCTGAGGCCGGCTCCCCCAGCTCTCAGTGTCACCCTCCACTCTCGATCTTTCTGCACCTGCGACGTGGGTGGCTCGCCGCCGCCAGGCTGCCTCCCCCTGCTCTGCACATCCCGGATTGCCATCTTGTACCTCGTTTTGGAAGCTGCTCCTGGGGGACCTCAGGGGAGCTGGCCCTGCCCTGGCGCTGAAGTGGGAGTCTGCTGAGGCCGGCTCCCCCAGCTCTCAGTGTCACCCTCCACTCTCGATCTTTCTGCACCTGCGACGTGGGTGGCTCGCCGCCGCCAGGCTGCCTCCCCCTGCTCTGCACATCCCGGATTGCCATCTTGTACCTCGTTTTGGAAGCTGTCGTTTATTGCCTTGGAGCCTCAGCCAAGCTCAGATCAAAGTCTTTGTGCTTAAAAATCGCAGCTGTGAGGGGGCTGGCAGGTGGCTTGGTGGTTAAAGCAATGAACTCCCACAGGGCCAATTGTGGTTCGGGTCCTGGACCTGGTGGTTTGCTTTCTCACCTTCTTTACATTCCTGAGAGACAAGGAGACAGGATCCCCAGTAGGGTCTTTTTCTCGTTTTAATTGCCAGCGAGTATGTGCGTGCACACGCGAGGGAGCAGGACCAGCAGGACGTGATGCTGACATGACTCTCCCCTCCAGTCCATGCCATCAGGGTTTCAGCACACACACACATGCACCTAGTGTATTCTTCAAGCACTGGGTCTGGGATGGGATTCGAACCTCTGACTCCAAATGCATAGCACTAAACCAGACCTGTAGGGCCAGCCCCCCAACAGGGTCTGGACCCACAGTCCACCTCCAGCCAGTCTGGGATGGTAGGCATGCATGGATTTGGTGTGCTTGGGAGGTCAGTGGTAAGATCCCCGAGCCTCCCTGCACAGGTCAACCTCAGGGAACGGAGTCAGGGCGGTGTTTGGGCTCGATCCCACGACCTTCCGTACTTGCTGTCAGGCTCACCTGCTCGGTGGCTCTCCGTCAGTTTCCCAGCTCTACACCCTGAAGGAAAAGCCAGGGCAAGTCAGGTCCTGACTCGCCAGCTCTGGGTGGACCTCGTGCCCACCTGGGGTCATTCATGTCTGTCAGAGACTTGGAGACCAAATGACCTCCCTCCACTGCAGAGCCGAAGGACAGGTTAGCCCTGGCGGACTGGACTGGGGTTCAGGGAGCATGCGAGCGCCGTATCGGTAGGCTGAGGGCCCCTTTGCCCCTCTGAGACCTGAGGGTCTTCGAGCTGAGTCCAGGGACCTAACACACAGATAGGGAGTGAAGCCCAGCTGTCAGCTTTCCCTCCGCACTGGGGTCTCACGGCAGCACGGGGGCGAAGCCCGGCCACAGCAAAGTGCTTCCACACTTCCTGAGACAAAGAAGGATTGATTTATGAAGAAAGGAATGGTTAAAGGGGTCCCTAGGGGACCAGCAGTTAGCGTAATGGCTATGTCGTTGGACTCCCACGTAGTCGACTGCGGTTCGAGTCCTGGACCCGGTGGCTTAAACTCACACCGGGTGCGTATGTGTGCATGCCCAAGATCCCGAGAGGAAAATGGAGGAGAAGGGATTGCGGTGTGGCCATCCCCCCGGGGGGTGACTTCTTGCTTTCTATCTCTCTGTCTCTGTCTGTCTGGTGAGTGCATGCGCCCTATAGCGAAAACCTCTTCAAATAAAAAGGGCGTCCCTAGACTAGAGTAGTAGGTGGCAGGGAACTCAGAGACAGGGCAGGTGCGGGCTCTCTTCCGGGCGCTGCAGCCCGAGTGTCCAGCCTCCTGGTGACAGAGGTCTTTCTCTCCTGGCGTGGGAGGAACCTGAGGCTAGTGTGCAGGAAGGGGGGTCAGGTGGCCTTTTCTGCAGCTACAAGTCCTCAGGTGACCTCAGCTTGAAATAGTCAATAGGGCCAGCAGGTGGTGTGGAGGTTAAGGTGCTGGATCTCACATGGCCAGTTGTGTGGTTCGAGTCCTGGACTCGGCCACTTGCAAATGATGTGGGTGTATGTCTGCAGGTACGCCCAGCACCCCAAAAGGAGACGGGATTGTGTCCTGGCCGTCCCCTCTGATGGGTGACTTCTGTCTCTCTCTGGCCAGTGCACGTGCCCTATAGCAAAAAAAAGGGAAAAAACAAAACAAAACAGAAAAGTAAAAGAATAATCAGTACCCCTAACTGGCACGTTTTGGAATCATTCACCCCTACCTCCAGGACTCCCCGGAGTGGGAATGCATCCTTGCTTCTGAACCAGCAGGCACCCGTTACAGGGAGGCCCGGAGGACCGTCCCTAGGGCCCCATGCTCTAAACCCCCACGCTGGCCTCGCCCGACCTGGTTCTGGCGTTGTAAATGGGTCCCTCCAACCTCGAGCGACCTGAGTGGAGCGGGGCTCTCTGTAGCACTGGGGTCGCTCTGCCCTCTGATCTCCCACAGGCTGGACAGCTGTGGCCTCACGGCCGTGGCGTGCACGGACCTTTCATTCACGCTGGGGATCAACCAGACCCTGACTGAGCTGTACCTGACCAACAATGCCCTGGGTGACACAGGAGTCCGGCTGCTTTGCAGAAGGCTGAGCCATCCCGGCTGCAAACTGCGAGTCCTGTGGTGAGAGGTGCTCCCGGCTCTCTGGAGGGGGCGTGGGGCTTGGCGCGGGCAGCCTGGGGTGCAGAGGGGTGCACAGCTTGGATGAGAGAACCCAGAATGCAAGGGCTTCACTCGCGAGTTCCTCCGCTGAGTGCGAGAGGACTACAGTGGCCTCACCTCTGGAGACATCTGTGCCACCTCGGGCCCTGACTGGGCTAGAGTGTTTAGTGTCCGGCAGGGCTGTGCAGCTAAGCGAGGCTGGAGTTACGATGCTCGAGTTCAAATCCTTCTTTTTTTAAAAGAATTATTTTATTTAACTTTATTTATTTTCATTTGAACAGAGAGGAACAGAGTGAGAGAGAGAGGAAAAGTGCGAAAGCAAGCCTCCAGGTCTGGGACTCGAACCATGGTCAGACACGTGGGAGTCAGCACCCGTAACCCACACACCATCTGCCGGCCCCCCGGGTTCAAATCCTAATTCCATCACTTAAAACCTGGGAGCTTATTTTTGCCACTCATTCACCTTCTGAGAAGGTCAGTACTCCTGTCTGTACAGCGAGTGGCTTCTTCAAAGTTACTAGGGCCAGCAGGTGGTGTAGTCACTGGACTCCCACATGCCCAGTGCGGTTCGAGTCCTGGACCTGGTGGCTTGAAACTCACGCTGGGCGCATGTGCATGCGTGCCCGCCCAAGATCCCGAGAAAAGAACGGAGGAAAGGGGAACGGAGGAGAGGGGACTGCAGCATGGCCATCCCCAGGGGCTGGTTTCTCACCTTCTCTCTCCGTCTCTCTAGCAAGTGCATGTACCTTATAGCAAAAACCTCTCTCTAAAAGATATGTGGTGTGTGTGTGGGAGGGGGAGTGTGTGTGCAGGGTGTGTGTGTGTGCGGTGGCTGTGGTGTGTGTGTATGTGTGTGGTGTGTGTGGTATGTGAATGTGTGGGTGATGTGTGGGGGGGTGTGTGGCATGTGTGTGGTGGTGTGTGTATGTGTGGTGGTGGTGTGTGGGGACGGTGGTGGTGTGTGTGTGTGTGTGTGTGTGTGTGTAGCAGAGAGTGACCCTTTCCCGGGAAGGGTGGCTGGAAGTGCCGTGAGACAGAATCACGGAAGGGTGCAGGGCAGACAGCTCACTTGAGCCAGATGGACCGGGCACTAACACACGTGGGGGGCCTGGCCCTCCTGCAAGGCTCTGGGTCTCCAGAGACTTTCCTGGCCCCATGGGGTGGCCCCGTGTCCACTCCGGGCCGGCTGAGCTGGGGTGGACGGTGGAGTGAAGGCCGTGGGGTGCCCTCTGTCTCCCTCTCATGGAGAAGACCTTCATGTCTGTTCTAAGCCACCAGGGCAGACAGGTGTCCCCTCCTTGTGCCAGGCTGTTCGGGATGGACCTGAGTAAAGTGACCCACAGGAGGCTGGCAGCTGTGCGTGCAGCGAAGCCTTCCCTCGACATCGGCTGCTGAAGTCCCCTGTTCGGAAGAGGAAGGCGGGAGCCACACGCTCCTCACCCCGAGGCACGGGACCGGCTCCTTTCAGCACCTGCCCCGGGGGAGGAAAC